GCGTTTAAGAAAGAGATAGTTTTGCAAAAAACAACAAATCATCAGCAAAAAAAGTGAGAAATAAGAGGCCCATTAGGTGTTAGTCTAATAGGTTTTCATTCATTTTATTCAATACTACTAAGAATGCAATGGCTCAGATGTTCAATACAAAGAACAAAAAGATAAGAAGAGAGAGGATCCCCCTGACGAATGCCATAAGAAGGGTTGAACTCTTCAGTTGGTTCACCATGCCAAAGGATTTTCATACGAGTGGTGGAGATGGTAGCCATAATTAATTTTTTAAAGTGGTTGTTTATTCTAATGGAGATAAGAGTATCCTTGATGAAATTCCATAAAAGTTTGTCAAAAGCCTTTTCAAGGTTTACCTTAAGTGCCATAAATCCTTTTTTTCTCGTTTTCTTCCTCATAGAATGTATGACTTCTTGAGCAATAATAATATTATCATTACTCTACCATCCCTAAATAAAGCTACTTTGATAATCACCAATTAAATGATTCATGCACGTGCGCAATCTTGTAGAAAGAATTTTGGTGATAATTTTATAACAAACATTGCATAGTGAAATAGGCTGGAAGTCTTTCATACAGGTAGGGTGATTAATTTTAGGGATCAAGGTAATAAAAGTGTCATTAATCTCCCTTATAAAATTCGATTCTGTGAAAGCCTTTTTGACCAAATTGAAGATGCTGTCTTTAAGATCATTCCAATAAGAATGAATGAATCCAGCATTGGTATCATCAGGGTCAGGGGCTTTGAATGCCCTAATATCAAAGGCAGCATTCTTAATTTCTGCTTCAGTCACATCCCTATGTAAGGATTAAAGTTAGTCTGGGGAAAGAGGTGGAAAGCAAGTAGTTGTAGAGAGTTTGGGCTTAATATCATTATCTTCCTTAAAAAGGTCTTTAAAGAAGGAAACTGCCATGTTCTTTAGGGTATTTTGGTCTTCCACCCAGTTGTTGTCATCATTTTTAAGAGATAAGATTTGATTTCTTTTCTTTCTGATGATAGATGTAGTATGGAAGAATTTTGTATTTTGATCACCCCATTTAAGCCATTTACATCTTGACTTCTAGAACCAAGTCATCTCTTCTTGCAAAAGAACTTTATTATAATCTTTCCAAAGGGATTTTTTCAATTTTCGTAGGAAGTAACTATTTTTGTAGCTTCTATTCTTATCAATTTCGTCCAATCTCTTCAGTATTCTTTTCTTCTTAGAAGAAATATTTCCAATTTTTTCCTTATTCCAAGTAGTAGCTATGTTGGCAAAGTTAGAAGCTCCCTCTGTCTAGTTATTATTGATCCATGAGTCTTTGACTATAGGATGAAGGGATTCCTCAAGCATCCAAGCATTATGACACTGAAAATGTATAGACTGATTTTTTTAAGGAGACTCTTTGAATAATTGAATTCTAATTAGGCAGTGATCAGAACCATATCTAAGTAAATGAAAGGAAGTAGCTTGATAAAATTTAAGTCTCCAGTCTATATTGCAAAAAGCCTAATCAATCTGTTCTTTCACATTATCTTTTTCCCAGGTAAATCTATCACCACAGAAGTTGAGGTCAAAAAGGTTGGAAGAATTTATGCATTGTCTAAAATGTTTCATGGATCTCCAATTGAAACTATCCCCACCACTCTTGTCATCACATGAAAGGCAGGAATTGAAATCACAACAATGAGCTAAGGATCAGTGATAGTATGAGAAAAAGAATTGATAGAATCCCAAAGTAGATCATGTTGGAGAGGATTGGGTTCACCATAGACACAAGATAGCAAATAAGAGCAATTTTTAGCTAAGATATTAACCCTACAATGCAATAGTTGCACATTAGAATAAATATAATCAATGTTAACAAAATCATTATTCCAAAGTAACCAAATACTGCCAGAATAACCAGTAGCTTTAACACGAATCTAGTTAGAAAAACCTAATTTCCTGATAATACTATCCACTCTAAAACCACTAGCTCTGGTTTCAAGAAGAATAAGAACTTGAGTATTAAAATTTTTAGTCATATCTTTGATACGTGAAGGAAAATTCCTAGCATAGGCACCTCTACAATTCTAACAAATTAAATCCATAATAATAAAAGAAAAGGAGAAGATAAACCTGTTTGGAGATTACTCATCATGATCATTACTAAAATCATCATCCTCAAGATCATCATAGTGGGCAGATTTGCTAAAGTCTTCATCTTAAAGATCATCCTCAAGAATATCTTCCTTATCATTTCCTTGAATGAATTCATTTTGCTCAGCTTCTATAGTAGAAAGATTATTAACCAAGTCTTCAGAAGAGACTTCATGGAATTGGGTTTCTGGAACAATGTTGAGGTTGATATTAGGATCAGGAGGTTCATTATGTTCAGTTAGAGAGGAGGTAACGATGAAGTAATTTTGTTGGCTAAAGGAAATTATATCCTCATTGTTTTTTTCCAGACATTCATATCAGGTATGAATGCAGTACCAATCGAATTATGATCAAATTTGTTCCCCTAGACTTTATTTTCCTTGCTTCGTTTATGGGCTTAGCACATGAGCCCAGATTCCTCTTACTGCCTTTGACCACGTTGTGCACACGTTTAAAAGGTTTGTTAGAAACGTTATTGGGCTTAGCTTCATTTATGGCCTTCTTATCTAAGTTTATCATTTTTAGGCCTGTCCATTTAAAACTTGACCCAGCTCTATCAGATTTGGGTATTTTCTCTCCTCTATTTCTTTCTCTCGGCCTCACTTCGTCGGTTTCCTCATCCTCTCTCGCCCGATTTCTTTTCGTACCAGTTATATCTTTCCTCCTCCAAATCTGTCTAACAATCCTCGTAGGTGAAGGCTTAGATGGATCGTTGGAGGTATGCTCTCTCTGATTTGCGCCGCTAGAGTCCTGGTTAAGGTTGGCAAGAATGTCAAAGCATGATCTGGAAGCAAAGGTTTTTTCACGATTGTGATGTGTGGTCTGGAAATCCACTAGGTTTCTTAGAAATCGAGAGCTTCTCGAGTACTTGTACTTCATCCATTCTCCATATTCATTTTCTAGCAGGTCAGATTATTTTTCGGTGAGTCTCGGGGTGCTTGACTAAGATTTTCATCTTGAGCTTTCTTCGAGTACCTTTGGTTACTGTTGCTGGTGCTGTTTTGGCCGATAGGATGTTTTCCTTTTGTAGATCTATTTTCATTTTTGTTCTTTAGGTTATGTGGGAAAATATTTTTGTTATGCCCATAGCATCCACACCAAAGCAAATTAGATTTAAACTTTCATATTCTATGTTATATAATTCATCCCTGATCAATAGCTTGGGTACCGATTTTTTTTGGAGATCAATTTCAACACTAATTCTCATGAACTTCCCTCTTTCCGTCTTCCCCTGTTTGTCTTTAGAATCAGACTCAAATAAAGAGTTGGAATTGACTTTCAGAGTTTTTCCAATACAATTTCCTAATCTTCATAGAATTTCTTTATCATAGCATTGTATGGGGATATTAGATAATCTGACCCATAGTACGACCTTGCCTAAGATATTTGAGTTCGGATTGAAGTTGGGTGCCCAATGTTGCACAAGAATACAGTGGTCAAAAATTGTCCAAGGGCCACCGTTCAGGATTTTATCATAGGTAGATTGATCATTGGTTCTAATAATGTAATAACAATTAACCAGATCAATCAATTCATAATCTCTTAGTTGCCACATTTTAGCTAACCTGGGCTTTAGAGATTTAGGATTGAGATGTAATCCCAGAGTATTGATGACTATGGCATCCATCCATAACAAGCATATATTCTTCCATTCCTCATTAGAAATTTGGAGAGTTGGGTGCTGGTGTATTAGTTTTTTTGTTCTTTTAGATGGTGACCAATCTGTCTCTAGTTCTTTTACAAGTGCTTCGTTTCTATGGTTAGATTCCTTTCCAGTTTTGATTCCATAGCAACCATTGTAGCCTATCAGTGACTCCTTATAAGAGATAGGAGCTTCAATTCCTTGAGGCATTGAAGTTTTATTATGGTTTACATTTTCAGCAGGGCCATCATGTGATTGCACTTCTATTTGTTGGTCTTGATGATTCACATCGCTGTCCATGCTTATCTGTTGAGTCTGGATTTGTGAATGATGTTGAGTTTCTAGATGTGAATGTTGTTGAGCTTCTGTTTCTTTATCGATCATCACATCATTTGCTTTAGAGTTGTTTCTGTGCAATAAATAAGTTTCCTCCTTGGACGCAGGTGGATTCATAGACTCTTTATATGATTGTGTAGTTGAAAAGATAAAGTTTGGATTGATTGCTTGTTTGGTGATCATGAAGTAGGGTAGAGTAGAGCAGAGTAAACACTGGATCAAGAGACAAGAAAGAGAACAAGGGAGAAGTAGAACCTTCTCTCCAGGAAACTAGAGAGAGGGTAGAGCTTCTCTCTCTAGCATTTCATAGATAGACGTGCATTTATTTTATTTTTTTAAAGCTAACTGTCTTAAGGGAAAATACTTCTGACAAATCTATAGCACACATAGCCAACAAGTGTTTTGTGAAAGGAGGCTAAATATCTATTCTTGCATATAAAAACAGAAGTCTTAGTGCGCATGCGTTTATAATATCTTTTGCATACATAATAATAATAATAATAATAATAATAATAATAATAATAATATTTAAATTGAACAGTGTGAATGATTATGGAATAAAATGAGGTATTATTTTTTAATAAAAATTAATTATTATTAATAACAATTAAGTAAATTAGAAAACTAAATTTCAGTGAATCTTGGGCTCAAAATTTAAAGATAAAATTTATTCAAATTCAAGTTAATGGTAAAGCCTTCAATTTAAGATGATGATGATTTACCGTTCAACCATAATTTCTGTTGGGCTTTCTTTTATTTATTTATTTCCTTCCCTTTGCATTGAGGGCTTTTTATTTCCAATCATGAGTGATGAGCCCATCTGCGCGATTCTGCCAAGCTGTTATTAGTGGCTGCTATCATGTAACCAAAGCGAGGCGCAAATAATTGACGGTATTTGCGGCGTGATTCTTGAAGACTGGGACTCAGTCATTTGGAAACGATTGGCTGGGGTCTCATGCCTTGCTAGGGTTTTAAACCCTCGCCTCGTTTTCGGAGGGTTCTCCGCACGGCGGAGCGATGCCGTCTATGGCAATCTTTTCTCGGCACAGGCCGAGTGTGAGGGAGGGTTTCGTTTGGCTCGGTGCGTTTGTGCACTGGGCAATTCGGTTTTGTGTGTGGGCATTCTCAAAGAGGGTTGATGTCAATTTTGGGATATTGGTCTTCGGTAGAACGGTTGAACGATCTGAGGCAGAGGCGACTGGGATCTAAGGCAAGTTTGAGGATTTTGAAGGAGGAAATTGTGAGTTTGTGTTCTCTTTGTGCGATGAACGATGAAGGTGGTGGCAAATGCGCGTCGATGTTAGTGGCAAATGTGCGTCGATTTTCCCTCCTAATCACCTGTCCGCCACTTTCATTCCTTCCACTCTCTCTTCTAGAATGTCCTAAGCAAGAGACAGGGGGTGTACATGTATTTGATTCGGTCACAACCGAAGGCAGCACTAAGAAGGTGAAGGGGACAGTGCGCGTCTATTTGAAGTGCCATCTGTGACCCAGTTCATGTTGTTCTTGGTTGGCGGTGAGGGTCATCAAGGGAGGCGGAGGACAAATGAGAATGAGATCGACATCCACTCTGACCCCTTCAGGTTGTTTAAATATCTTGTCGCTTTTGCCCATTAACGATCTATATCAGAATATAGAAGCCAATAATCCCTGTCTTCTCCGCTGTTCTTCTTTATTTTTCTTCTTCAGTCATATTGCCATGCTTTTTTATTCCCCCCCCCCAAAGTTCTGATCAATTGTTCTTAATTACTTGTTCGTTTGTTTTCCTCCTTCATCTAGGATTTCTCCATTAAATTAACCTTTGGAAGAAGAATTTGCGATGGGGGAAAGGATTTGGGAGGAGTGAAGAATGGTAATTGATCCAACATCTCTCACGGTTAATGCACTTATATTTTGCTAAAAAAATTATCCTTTCTCTTCCTCTATGCTTCAATTACCCTACCGAATGATAGCATTCAATAGATACAAAGCTTGGTCATTTCTGTCGATTTCTCCTTCCATTCTTCATTAGTTTTTAAACTTTAAGTCTTTCTCTCTCTGCATCATCCTTCCTTTACTTCTACAGTGCACCACAACCAAAACTCTTCACTATAGTCTAAATAGAATCATTTTACATTGTGCTCTTCAAATATGGTTTTCATGCTCATCATTTTCTTTTGGACATCGAGAAGAACCGCAGCACCCTCTTTTGGAAACTTGTGAATGTTGTTTGTATTATGTACTTGATTTTTATATTGTGTCTGTATTGCTTCACAAAGTTTGGTTGATTGGATTACATCTCAGATTCCTTCATTTAATGGTGAATGGTCAACAGTTTTTATTTGGGCTTATGATTAATATAAACTTGCTAATAGTCTTTTATTTGTGGGTGTTATGATTGATTGTTGGATGTGGTCAAATATATAGAAGAGCACTGAATATATCTTTTGATATATTTGAATTGGGTTTAACTTACATTGTTCCTTTGTGAGCAGTGATTTCTTACATTGAATACTCTATAGTGTATGAGATGTTAATTTGCTGCCAGAATAGAAAGCTGATTTGGTATTAAAAGTTTAAAACATATAATTTAGCATGTGTTTAGTCTTAATAGTATTTGCTAAACCACAATTAAATGCTTGATCTCCGTCCCCTTGTAATAAACTTGTGTGCTTAGGCATATGAGTTGGAACTTCAACATGAGTTGGGGCTATTGCATTTTGACCCTGTTGATCGGCATCATATACGTGGTTGAAGCAAGAAATTCTTTATTTGTTAGCCATCAAATAGGGTAATAAGTAGTAATGGATTTTTTTTATTGGTCTGAAAAAAAAAAACCAATCCATTACTTCAAAGAAAACAATATCATACTCACTGGCATGTTTTATTATGTGGACTTTGTGGTCAATGTCTGTAGTATGTATGGAACCAAGTTCATTGTGAACTTACTTGAGAGGAAAACAAGGTTTAACCTCCATTTTCATCTCAAGACGCGGCATAGAAAGCTATGCTCATGCATTTTCTGACAACTGTGGTGATAAATTATGTTTTTTAGAGTATACTTCAGGAAACAATACTCTGATTCTCTTTTGAGTTTACTTCAGCAAACAACACTCCAATTCTCTTTTGCTTGAATGGGAAAAAAAGCTCGGTAAAATAAAATTTGACTTAAATTTTTTGGATGCAGCGCTCCTTGTGACATTGTTGGTGATATTAGCTATGAAGAATTGCAGGCAGCGGCATATGAGGATGCTAAGCATGGGATGACCTTCCAATCAATTGTAAATTGACAGTCAAGTTAATGTAACAGCTGGCCTCTTTTCACTCTCAATTTGGTAGTTTGTGATTATTCACACTGAAAAATTCCATCTAAAAATCTCATTGGGTAACTTGGTCTTTTCCAAAGTCTCCTCACTCATTTGGGCAGTTTTACCCTACTGGATTAATATTAATATCATTGCAGATTTTTGGTCAGAAAGAAAATATTCTCCTTACATTCGTGATGTATTGGTCTAGCTGTAAACAGTTGCATCAATATGTTTAACCTTTTTTTTTTTCCATATTCTTCTTGATTTTTTTTAACCTTTCGTTAATTCTTAGGAATTGATTTAAGCTCAAAAAATAATTACTCACTTGACTTTGGTACTGCTTGAGAAATTTCCCTTATGCTGACAAGTTGATAAGAACTTAGAATAGTAGGGATTAGGAAGAGTAATCTGCTAAGTTAGTCAGAGCAAGGATCTCACTCTAAATAACTTAACAGCCAAGTAGGAGAATCTCCAAAGGAGTAACGGGTTTACTTCTTCATTCATATCCTGCTGTGTATGGGAGCTTGGATATTTAAAATAAAGGAGTACAACTGAATAATTCAAATAATGCAAGATACTAGCCTAAAAATTAGGAACTAACACGCAGGAACCTCCCTAACAACCTTGAGGTCCTATTATTTAGCAACTAATACTTAAAACAGAATAAAAATTCAAATAACAATCCAAATAACAGCAATAATTAATTTAAATCAGATAAATCTCTTAAAACATGCATGACTGCATCAGTTTCAACTATCTTCCTCTTCTTTCTACGATGATAAGTTATTAGTGGTCTCCTAAGCTAACTTGGATCCTTATCATTACTCCCCCCTGAAAAAATGACTTGTCCTCAAGGTGGAAGGTTGGAAATTGCTGTGCAAAGAGATCATAATCTTCCCAACTTGATTCATCCTTTGGTCTGGATTCCCACTGGATCAATAACTCCAAATGAGGTCCCTTCCAGTGATGAGATAGTACTGTTTCAGGTGCCAAAATGAGTTCAAAATCCGTTGAGAGTGGCAATTCAGCTAGAGGGTCCAGAGGAGGCATCCCTGAGCTCCTCGCAATAATGAGACATGAAAAATTGGGTGAATTTTAGCTGTTGAAGGGAGCTTCAGTTCATAAGCCTTTGGTCCCACCTTGCAAACTATGCTATAAGGCCCAAAAAACCTAGGTGAGAGCTTGTCATGATTCTTGTGTGACAGTGAGCGTTGCCTGAAGGGCTGAATCTGTAAGAAAACTGTATCTCCTACCTCAAAAGAGAGCTCATGCGGATGATGGTTAGCATACATCTTCAGTTGGTGTTGAGCTTTGTTCAAATTATCCTTGAGCAGTTGCAGCATTTGGTCTCTAGTTTCCAATTGTACAGCAAGGTCATCAATATGAGTTTCACCTTTAATGAAAGGATGAAGGGGAGGTGGGTCCCTACAATACACCACCTTGAAGGGAGTAGTGTTGTGCCAACATGGAAACTGCTGTTGAATGAAAATTCAGCCCAACATAAAAACTTATTCCAAGAATGTGGCTGTTCATGTGCAAAACACCTTGGGCAAGTCTTAAGACAACGGTTGACCACTTCAATTTGCCCATCACTCTGTGGGTGGCAGGTAGTATTCATTTGAATGTGAGTTTGACTTAATTTGAACAATTCTTGCCAAAAGGCACTCAAGAAAAGTGAGTCCCTATTTGAAACAATGTAATGAGGTTTGCCATGCAAACGAACAATTTCTTTACAAAAACGAGTGGCCACAGATTTTGCAGTATGAGGATGTGATAGGGGAATAACATTGTAGTATTTACTCAGCCTAACAACTACCACCAATATAGTGTCAAAGCCACCAGATTTGGGCAACCCCACAATAAAATCAAGGGAAATATCTTCCCAAATTTGGGTAGGAATAGGTAAAAACTGCAAAAAAACCAGCAGGAGATAGAGTTTCATACTTATTCTTCTGACAAGTAAAGCATTGCTGTGCTATAGCTTTCACATCATGTTTCATTTTGGGTCAGTAAACTGTATTTGATAGAAGCTTTAAAGTTTTTAAGAAGCCCCCATGACCCCCAGAAGGCGTCACATGTGCCTCTTGTAGCAGCTTGGAGTGAGGAGAGGAGCTTTGGGGAATGACCAAGCGCCCATTAAAATACAATTTCTGCTCAACCAAGCTGTAACCAGGGTGAGAGCTTGGATTTTCTTTCAACGCAGCAATGATAGCAGCTGTAAATGAGTCAGCTATCAAAGCCTGCTGCAATTCTAGATACTTCAATGGTACAGGTATCACCATAGTGAGAAAATCAGCATGTTGTGGCCTCCTGGACAGTGAATCAGCCCCAATATTTTCTTTTCCAGCCTTATACACAAGAGTAAAATCAAAGGAAAGGAGTTTAAGGATGAGGCGTTGTTGGGTATTTGTTAAAATTCTTTGCTGTAGCAAATTCTTGAAACTGCTATGATCAGTCCTCATTGTAAAATGCCTCCCCAATAAGTAATGACGCCATTTTTGGAGTGCTAATACTGACGCCAAGAGCTCTTGATCATAAGCAAATTGAAACCTATTAGAGAAAGATAGCCCTTTGTTATAAAGAGCAATGGGATGGTCATTCTGCATAAGAATTGCCACAACACCATCCATGAAGGCATTACATTTTACAACAAACTCAGCAGTAAAGTTAGGAAGTTTTAAAACAGGAGCAATAATAAGATGACATTTAAGCCTCTCAAAAGCTCTCTGTGCTTCAGGTGACCAGCAAAAAGCATTCTTTTTAGTTAATTCAGTAAGGGGATGAGCAATAATACCATAGTTCATGACAAACTGTCAGCAATAGCCTGTAAGCCCTAGGAAGCCATGAGGCTTGGTCACATTGGTAGGTTTTGACCACTCACTCACAGTGCTTATCTTTTCAAAGTATGTTTCTACTCTTTGTGCTGAAACTTTATGGCCCAAGAAGGATACACAAGTCTGTCCAAATTCACACTTCTTAAAGTTGGCATGGTAATGTTGTTGTTGCAGGGTGGTGAATGCTATTTGGAGGTGCTCTTCATGCTGCTTTGAAGTGGGACTATAGACTAGGATATCATCAAAGAAAACTAGTACAAACTTTTGAAGATAAGGGCGAAAAAGATCATTCATAGCTGCTTGAAAAGTAGCAGGGGTGTTTGTTGGTTTGAAAGGCATGATGACAAATTCATAGTGTCCACTATGTGTCCTGAATGTCGTCTTGTGAATGTCAACTGGTAGGACTCGAACTTGGTGGTACTCGGAGTGAAGGTCGATCTTAGAGAAATAAGTGGCACCATGTAACTCTTTTGAAAGCTCATCAATGTTGGGAATTGGGTATTTATTTGGGACCGTGATCTAGTTCAAAGCCTTATAGTATGCACAAAATCTTTCTTTACTAATAAGACTGGACTAGCAAAAGGGCTTGAACTTGGCTGTATGAAGCCTTTCTATAACAATTCATCTACTTGTTGCTCAATCTCAGTCTTCTGGAAGTAAGGATAGCGATAAGGACGCAAGTTAGGAGGTTGAGCCCCCAGTAGGAGATGGATGGCATGATAATGATCTCTGAAAGGCGGCAAGGTGGTGGGTTCATTAAACAAACTATCAAACTCCACCATGAGCTCATCCACATCTATTGACTGAGCATCCAGTGATCTCAATTTAAGCTCAGAAGAAAACATTGAGTGTAAACTTGCCTTTTGGTTGGTGGATGGAGGCACTCCTTGAAGCTTATACCTCTTACCATCAATCCAAAAAAAAAAAACATTTCATTCCAGTTGGCTTGGATTGTGTTCAATGAGGCTAATCACTTAATTTCTAGGACTAAATCTGTTCCCGCAAGAGAGAAGGGGTAGGAGTCTTGCTTAAGAGTTAAGCCTACAAGTTTTACTTCCGCTTCTTTACATACCTTGTTGCAGTGAACAATTTTGCCATCTCTAATTTGAACTCCAAAAATGGACATAGAGCAAGTAGGCAAGCTTGGTTCTTGAACCAATAAATCAAAAATGAAATTATGTGTGGATCCACTATCCACAAGTAGCAAGACATCACGATTTTGCACTAACCGAGTTTCATAGTTGTTGCAGTGTTATTGCCTAGTATCGCATTAAACGAGATCTCTATAGTTTCTGGAATCTCATCTTCAGCTTTTGTAACAGCTTCGTTTTACTCAGATAGTGGTTGGCCATCCTCGTCGATCTTCATAAGAGAGAGAAGAGGTTTTGCAGCGATGCCCAGGCTGAAAAACATCCCCACAACGGAAGCAGAGACCTTTATCCCTGCAGTGTTGCCGTTCGGAGTCCGAGAGAGCAAGTCTAATCAGCGTTGTGCTTGTTGGATGGAGGTTTGAAGATGACGCGTTAGAGCTCCTAAGTTCTTTTGGTGTAAATGCTGAAGCTGTCCCTTGTGAGTCACGTGCAGAGTTATTTTGTTGGCTGAAATAAAAATTGGACTGATTTTGATCATAAGAAGTTGTGGGCTTGGGCCCATGTTGAAGTTGAGACATTTTATCGTATTCTAGGGCAAGACTTACTGCCTTAAACACAGCATGTGGCATTCGCACATCAACTCTCAATTCTTCCTTTAAGCCAATTAAAAAAACTCCAATAAGGCAATGTTTTGGCTAGTGAGAAACTCGGGTACACACTTGGCAAATTCTTGTCTATATTCTTGAATAGATCTCGTTTGCTTGATAGAACAAAGGTGCTCATTAGGATTCTGGAATTTAGGCGGTCCATAGTGCTCTTGCAAAGCCCTCATGAGTTCATCCTAGTAATCATCCTAGTAAAGTAAGGTGCGTGCTGAATTAATCCAAGAGAATAAATCCAGTGCATCTCCCTCTAAATTCATGGAAGCAACATCTACCTTCAAGTCTTCTGGTGTTTGATAATACTGGAAAAATTTTTCAGCCTTCAAAATCTAGCCTCGTTGGTCCCCTCTACTAAATTTTGGAAAATCCATTTTTGTATATGGTGGTCGTGGGCCTCTTTTGTCAAAATCATCTTCACTGTCTTCCTCCTAATGAGAGTGCCTATAATGACCTTCCATAGTTCGCCTGCCTCTACCATTTACAGAAGCCTCAAGTGCCTCTACCTTTTCTTTCAACAAATCCAAGCGTCTCTAATTTGGAAGCAATTACTGTTAATAGGTCATCTGAAAATGGGTTTACAGTGGATTCATTGCGTGGGGGGTTATTGGAGGAAGTGGCATTTGAATCTATAGTTTTGTTGCTTGAACGTGTGGTCACCATGTTGATCGAACGTAGCTTGGATACCAAATTGATAAGAACTTAGAATAGTAGGGATTAGGAAGAGTAATCTACTAAGTTAGCCAGAGCGAGGATCTCACTCTAAATAACTTAACAGCCAAGTAGGAGAATCTTCAAAGGAGTAACGGGTTTATTTTTTCATTCATATCCTGCTGTGTATGAGAGCTTGGATATTTAAAATATAGGAGTAAAACTGAATAATTCAAATAATGCAAGATACTAGCCTAAAAATCAGGAACTACTTTGCAGGAACCTTCCTAACAACCTTGAGGTCCTATTATTTAGCAACTAATACTTAAAACAGAATAACAATTAAAATAACAGCAATAATTAATTTAAATCAGATAAATCCCTTAAAACATGCATGACAGCATCAGTTTCAACTATCTTCCTCTTCTTTCTACGATGATAAGTTATTAGTGGTCTCCTAAGCTGACTTGGATCCTTATCACAAGTAGCTTTATGGTCAAATTTTTTTCATGCAAGAGATTGTTCTTTGACGGCCCTTTTATTCTATTATGCCTTTTAGCTAGAAGTAAATGATGCTTATTTTCATTTCAGGTTTTCCCTGTTAAAACAGAGCTATTGAGGCCCCAAGAGAAAATGGAAAGTCCCATAACTGATTTGGTTAAAAAGGTATCTGTAATTCCCCAACATCATTTTATCAATGTATCTGTCTATTTAATATGTTTAATTTGTAATTTCCCAACATTATTTTATCGATGTATTTGTGTATTTGATATGTTTAATTTGGTAATATACTAGGGGGTTTAAATAAGTTCTTGAATGCTATTGTAGAGCTTAGAAGATGCAACTGATGTGTAATTTCAAATGTTTATGGATTTTTTTTTAAAGAGTTTTGAGTCTTTTTTATGAACACGCTCCTCTACCAAAGAGCAGTAAGGAATTGTTTGGAATCATTGCAAGTGCTTTTTAACTAAAAAAATTTGTAAGCGCATTTTTGAATGGTTCTCTAAGGAGTTAGTTTATTTTTATTAATGTCAGGAACTGATTTATTTTATATTTTATATCTTGGATCCATTACCCATTGATCCCAAGCCACTGGGTAATTCAAGAAGGAATATTGATGTCAAGCATCTCTTGAAGGATTGCAAGTTGCTTGTTATGGATCACACCTTCAACTTCAAGTGCTTGAAGTGCTTCAAATTAGGTTGTATCATCTCCTTCAATTTTTCTTTCCCAAAATATTGCTAGTTGATTTTTGTGATTGGGAATTGTCTGGGGGGGTGTAATCCAGTAGAAAAAAAAATCATCCATTGCATTTAGGTTTTGTCATTTTGAAGCTTTCTTTCCCTTAGGTGTTGCTTTCATTTAGGTTGATAAGTCTATTTGCATTGAGGGTAATGTAGCATTTAAGTGTGGGGGGAAGTGTGTTTTAGGTCATTTGGCCAAAATTTTTAAAAAAATTTAAAAAACAGTTGTTTTGATATAAAAATTCTTAGTTTGATGAGATGCCAATGAGATTTGAAGTGTTAGACTTGGCTGTTTCAAGTGTAGCTAGGATAGGATAGAATGTTCTTACTTGGTTTGCTTGAGCTAGGGGATAACATAGCCCTGATGGAAGGTTATTTTGAACCTATGTTGATTCCTTTCTAGTGTGCATTTTCCACTTATTCCATTTCATTCTCCAGAACTTGTTCTAATTCTTTATCAAGCCTACTTTTGCATATGCATTGTGAAAATGATCAAGGCATTCGTATAAAATAGCCAGTCTAGCCAAATAGCCAACCTAACATGATTATATCCTTTGCTAGCCACTTTGGGCCTGTTGATTATTTTCTTTCATTCCATTCATTATTTACACCCTCTTGCTTTCTAGGAATGCATGTTATGCTATATTTATTATTGTTGGGATTCATTTGCATGTCTAGTATTCAAGTTTTGGATGTTTTGAATTGTATAAAATATTTGATATGAATTTGAATGAATTGAAGGTGAAAGCTGAAATGATTGTTTTGCAATAGCCATAAAAAAAAAGAAAAGAAAACAAGGAGAAAAAGCCAAGAAAAGATTGTCAAAAAGAAAAGGAACAAGGGCGATACAGCTAGGAAGAAAAAGAAAAGAGAACAAGGCGAAAAAGTCAAGAAAAGATTGTCAAAAAAGAAGAGAGAAAAGGCAATAGGCAATGTGAAAAAATGTTTAAAAAAATGGAAAGAAAAAACCAGGAAAAAGAAGAAAAAAGAGTTATTGCTTGCTTGGTTATGAATCACTTTGCTCTTAATTTATAGTATTATTGTATAATTTCCATGTCTTGAACCTAGCTCATGCTTATGAATCCCATGTCATTGGTTTGCTGGATAAATGTGTACATGTGTTATACCTTTTTCCTTTCCACATGCATTCTTACATCCACTTTCCACCCTTTACATTACAACCAAATGAAAGACCTTTTGATTCATGCATGCATTTTGCTGATAAGTGGTGGAGATTTAGAATTTTTACAAGCCTATGGTAGAATGATTGGATAAGTGGACTTGAGTGAAAATTTACCCCTAAACACTAGTGAGTTGAGAGTAAACACTTTTCCCTGTGTTGTTATTTGCCTATCCAAGTTTACTAGGTTTGCATTCTGAATATTCTAGTTGCATGAGGATCATTTCAGGTTGATCATGGAGAATTGAATTGGCATAATCATCATTTTGAGCATGATGAACTCATTTATGTTTTCTATATATATATATATATATATATATTTTAACTTCTTGAAATTTTGTCCAGGAGTGCAATAGCTATGTGTGGGGGATTTTGATGAGTGATATTTCATACCTATTGTCACCCTCATTTTCCTTGGTTTTTGTCACTTAATCTTTACAAAAATAAGTATTTTAAACACTTTTTTTAATCATTTGAGTTGTGATTTTGGGATTTTTATGGTAAAATGCAATATTGAAAGTTTTGGGCCAAAATTGTAATTTTCAAAATATGTTCCAAAATTTCCCCCACATTTTATTAGTTTTCATATTTGAGTTCTACATCCCTAGGATGAATTTAGTTTGAGTTCATTCTCTTTAGTTAAGGAACAAAGCACACATTAACTACTTAGTTTCGTTATGTCCTAACATAAGACACTTTAACTACTTGGTTTAGTTATGCCTAGGTTTGTCTTCCGACCTAAGTGTGAGTGTACTAGGTTGTGAATTAACTTTGGGAATAAATTAAGTTTTCTATGTATGAAATTTTT